AAAAAACCATTTGAAAAAAAACAATGAAAAAAAACCTGAAAAAAAAACAAAAAAACGGACCGTTTTTTTAAGTCGCATCTCTAGTTGAGACACGTTTTTATCATCGAAATTTTTGTCCAAAGTAACTTTTTGTAGCTCAGACACATAGCAGAGTAAAACTTTTTCGGATATTGTTTTCACATTTTTTTTTGTTGAGCCAAATTATTTTTTCTTAGCGATCCTTGTTTTTTTCTGGAAATAAATTTGAACTTAATGAGACCGCTTCAGCACGAATATTTTCTTTGATATATTCTTTAATGTCCAAAACGTTTTTTTCAACGAATTTTACAAATAAACAACCATTATAATGGTTGGTATACCAATAGCTATCAAAGCCCAGTTTTCTTGATAAAAGCATTAGTTTTGTTAACTATGTTTTTTAGATTTGATCATGATATTTATATTGACACTGTCAAATTTTAAAAAAATTACGGTTGTTTGTTTTATATATAAAATATATCGATGGTTATTTGACAAAACATCGTAAGCGACAAAACCTAAATTTTACAGGAGAGATTTTTTTGTGTGGGAGCTTTATTTTTAAAGTTATTTATATAAAAACTGGTGAGGCATTATTTTATTAATGTAGAATTCAAATATTTAAGTAAGATCAAATCCAATCTAAAATTTTCATTAAATTTTGTGGCGTACGATATTTTATGAGAACATCTTTAAGAAAATGTAAAATTAGTCTTGTCGCTTAAGTTACATTTACGTTATTTTGTGGGATATAGATTTGATGATTACTTTTGTCAAAACATCGTTAGCGACATTTATTTTTTTACTTTTATTATTAATTAAAAAAAAAATACAAAAAAATTAATTTATAAAATATCACCAACGATATTTTGCCAAACAATGTTTGAAAATGAAATTCTACATTAGCTTTCTTTGAAACAAACAAACTATTTTTATTCACAAACCAGTATCCAACCCATGGAGCCTACACAAGGAGCCCGAACTTAATAGGGTAAATTGACAAAACCAGCCCTCTAAATTGTACAAATTTTTCTTTTTTTCACCACCAGCGTTGCTGATTGTCGATGCTAGCGTTTCGGTACAAATTAAACAATTGTTTCAGAATAAACGGAACACCAGCTCCCTCTTATCTTAGGAAGATTCTTGTTTACATGATGTTCGGACTCCTTGTGTAGGCTCCATGATCTAACCCATGGTACCATGATCTAACCGCTATAACAACATACAATTACTACAAAAAAACACTTTTAACGAACCACACTACGTAAAAACAATTATAATTAGGATAACTATTAATAATGCAATGACAAAAAGGAATTATAAGCTGTTGATCAAATAAAATATTGTTTTAAAACTTGGTAGCAATCACCACGATGCAGGTATACTCACGAATAAACTGTTTAGAGCGGGAATAAGGCCTTGATAGATCAAGGCGGGAGCACAATATTATCTTAAGCGACACAATGTTAAATCGCAAACGCCATGTCTCGAAGTTGCTTACGATTATATGTCGGGAACATATAGGCGCTTACGTTATAAATCGGTAACAAATTAAAAAGAAGAGGCGCTTACAATAATAAAAATATTCAAACTGACCAATATTAGATTCAAAAATTGGGATAACTATTATGTTAACATGTGCAGCTTATCGTAACTGACACTTTGATAAAATAAAAAGTAATTCAAAAAAAATTGTCGATTACGATGTTTTGTCAAATAACCATCGATATGTTGTTCTATACTTTTAATTAAACCCATAGGTTTAATTAAAAGTATAGAACAACATACTCGGATGATTGTTATACCTGGTCTATGAATATTGTTTAATGTCTAGCTGATTTTAGCAGTGTAATTTAGTAAATTTGCTGCCGGTGATTAAGTTTAAGTTCATTACCCTTTGGATGGTAATTTAGCAGTTCTGGTATTTAAATTTTGTTTTATTTGTCTACATAATTAATCTTTTTCCTTTTATTTTTCGTTTCTTTTAACATTAGTCTAGTTTCTTTTATGGATATTTTAATGATGTAAAACGAACAAAAATGCTTACTAACTACAGTGGCTTTATCAATTTTTAGTTATTATACATTTTCTAAATATAGAAATAAATGCTGTATAGAGTTATATCATTGACTTCTTCACTCAACGGTTATATGATATTTTACTGATATAATTATTTTTATTTGATTGAATTAATATTTTACCTTATGAAAAGATGCATTTTATGATTTTGGTTTACAGATTGTTATCTTTTGTCATCACAACATACGCTAAAGAAGTATTGCTAGTAGCGCCACCACTCGGCTGTTATCATCGTAACAAAAGTAGAACTTTTAATAATCAGCTGTCAAACGCTTATGTTACAAACGAGTGTTTTTGAGAATAAAGCCGGAAAATGTTAAAATATATCGAAAAAAACCCGTTTTATTGGGTGTATTTCGAGAGGAAATCCTAGGTTGAGTTTTTATCGATTTTCCAATAAACAGTGTTAATCCGAATAAAGAAATAAATTCCATACAGTCCCTGTAAATATAAATTTTATTTATTAGATACAATAAATACACATTTTAGTAATGATTAACGTGTAAGTGTAAACATTTCAATTCAATAAAAATCGTCAAACAAATAAGTCGTATAAATTTAAACAGCATTTAGCATTATTATAAGCGTTGATTAAGTCTCCACTCAACAGTAAAATACCATTATATTATGTATAGTATTATATATAATATTATGTTGCCATGAATTGGTAGGTATATTTTGTTGTTTAAAATGCAGTTGTCGGCGTTTTTTTTAGAGAACTCAAATATAAAAATGGTTGATTTTAAGGTTATGTTTGTGCAAAAATTATTTTTTACTAATTTCTTAAAAATGTCCAAACTTAAAATAAATCATATTAGGTAAAGTTATAATTAGTAAATTCTTCACCAACAAATGTACTTACTGAATTGGATCCTTTGGCAAAACATGAAAATGCATCGATTTAGTTCTTGAATTTTATTTACAATTAAAACACAATAATTAACCATGATCCCCATATATAAGCATTTAAGCGTTGAGTTTCTTAATCAATGATATAAGGAATAATCAATCAAAATCGAGTACTAAAAAAGTTTTTTTAATTTTTTCCTTACAACGTAAAACACAAATAACGTGCGCGATTTAGCTGTGCAATTGAACAAAATTTGTCGAGTAAGACTTCTGCCTTTCTCTATTTTGTGAAAAAACTACATATTTATTTAAAAATGATGTATAATCTGTGCCCTAAATGTATTGTTGACAATTCTTAAATTCACGCAAGTCCACCAGATGGCGCGCGCGTTGCGAAAACCCGAAAATTGTTGTTTTGTTGTCATGATGGTTTGGAATTAATTAAAAAAAAATATTTAAGCATCAAGCTTATAGATTATTAAATAAACTGTAATTTGACAACCAAGTCTAATAACGGAACACATATCAATTTTTTGCTGAACCCTCAAATCGCTTCACCTTAATTGAACCTCATTTAATTTACAAAATGAATTAGTCTAGCCAAGGTATTCATTAAAGCTTATATTAGGTAATTTTCTCACATCTATTTCTCGAAAACACAAGACGAAAGCTCAAATCCACTACGTCTATTCAATTCTGCACTTGAATACCTTAATTTCCTTTATCGTCACATGTACGCTCAGTTTCCTTACATATGCATAAACCTATATGCCCTATTCGTACTTATATCAAATATATTTATTGTATGAATGGATTAAGGAAATAAGGAACATTGATATATTTATAATAATAATATTTTTAGCATGTTTCTTGTTATAAGATAATCTCATTGAGATAATCTCAATTCTATTATGAAAACTGGGCTCCTTTGACTAGGAGCAAAAAAGTACAGCATAGCTTCAGCTTCGCCGCAGCTTTCAACTAATTTAACTTTACTCAACAACAACAAAGTTATTTATATAATATTACTCTCTATTATTTCGCGACGTCGGGCGAGGAAAATGCAATACAACCACAGGCATTTTCTTATTTTACTCTCATACCTATGAAAGTGGTATAAATTATTACCGTACAAATTGAGGCAATGTGCAAGCTGAGCTCGGCCACGGTTCGGATGTTTTAAATTCGAGAATATTTCTGCCTTGCTCTGCCAGACAAATGTTCATGCAAGTTTTAGGTTGGGAAAAGTTTCCACTACACGGTTAAAATTTAAGGATATCTTTAGATTTTTGTTCTAAAATCTAAACTATTTTATGGTGTTTTTTTCTGTAATCTTAGGCAGTGGCGTGCAGTGCCATTTAAAATGGGGTATGCAACAGAATCTTTTTTAGTAAGCATGGTCAACAATACATTTTATTTTTATGACTACACCCGCAGAGCCATTTATAATTGAAGGGGTTAGAATAAAAAGGGTATAAGTAACATTTTCATTTTTTGGAGATATTTGAAGTTAAAGTTATGTTACCATAAAAAAGTGAAGAATTTTGTTTAGTAATGTTTTTCTACTGGATAATAGAGGTCCCTAGAAGTATGAAAATTACTTAAATCCTTTTCATTTCGATACGTCGGAACCTTATCTTTCACAAAACGAACTTATCTCCTAAATTAAAGAAATTGCACTTATACCCTTTCTATTCTAACCCCTTCAATTGTAATAAATTTTTTTATTAAAATATCGAAAAGTTTTCTTTTGTTGCTGCATAGACGATTTTTAAGTTCGGGGTAAATCTAACAATCTTAATAACATTTTGTTTTTCGGTAAATGTCATGTGTCAGTTTTTCCAGAGCACGTAAACTTTTTAACCACAAAGAAAACAAAATTTCTTTAAATCGCTCTATTCTCTTCCACAGAAAATTTTGGTAAGTACCAATTTTTTTCAATTTTTGCAATCAGTATATTATTAGTTTTCCACCAACAGAATAATTTATATTTAATATTTCTTTCTTTTCTAAAGGACTGTGCAGTTATATTTTGTATTCCTTTATGTATTATCATGAATAAAATTATTGATACCACAACTATACCCGAATCATGGAAGTTATCTAAGGTATGTCCTGTATTCAAATCAGGTGGTCCAAGTCAACTAGGAAACTATCGTCCTATTTCCGTTTTGAAAAATTTTTCCAAGGACTTTCAAATGTTTGTGTAAATACACTGAATTGCGAGAACAAAAAAAACTATATATTAGATGCGTTTAAAGAGAAGAGCCAGGTTGATGTATTAAGGCCTTTGATAAGGTTGATCATGGAATATTAATTGATAAACTGAAATTGTTCAGTTTTAGTGTGACACTCATTGGTTTGATCAAATCGTACTTACAAGACAGAATGCAATTTGTGATTTATAATGGTTATCGCTCTAATACATATTTAGTTTCATCGGGTGTGCCACAGGGATCCAATTTAGGTCCCTTGTTGTTCAATATATTTGTTAATGATTTGTCTTTTTCTGTATCCGATAAAAAGCTTCTCTTCGCAGACGTTTTAAAACTATATCGCGAAATAAAGAATTTTGAAGAATTGTAAACGAATGGTTTCTTAGGGATTTTATTATATTGAACCTAAAAAAGTTATGTATGAATGTTCATTTACTCTAGTCCAGCAAGATTGCATTTATTTATTTATTATTATTTATTATTATTTCATATTTATACATTCCAATAAGCTTATAGCTTGTCTAGGCATTAATATAAAAATGTTTTAAATTAAATAATCAAACTCGCTACACTTAACCCTTCTTATATTTATCATAATGGAACTTTCTTTCCATTATCTGTTCTCATCTATAACATTCCATTACTTACCATCCATATCTCCTTTGAAAAAAAACTTCCTCTTTAAATTACCAAATATATGACTATAGTCTATATATAGTTTGAATAATGAATCTCTTATACAAACTGATAAATTTAAGGATCGCGGCATAGTTTTTGATTATCAATTGTCTTTTTTAGAACATGTTCAAGCTACAAGTTCCTCAGCCATGCGACCTTTAGGGTTTATTATGCGTAATTGTAATTTTAGGAATATTGAAACAATTAAAATTTTGAATATGGAAGCCTTATTTTTTATTCTTACTACTCTCTAAAAATTAATTCGACAAAAATGACTAATTGTCATAGCGAAAAAGCAGCCACTAATAATTCTCGTCAATAGCAATTTGACATGGGACATTTAGCAGTCAATTTCCATGTAAAATTGTCCCTTGAATCTGAAAAAGGTAAAAAACTAGAACAGTTTTTAAGATATAGTCAATTTTCCATTTAATATGAAACTGACTATATCTCAAAAACTGCTCTACTAATTTTTGACGATATTTTCGAATTCAGGGGACAATTTTACATAAGAATTGACTGTTAATTTTTGGGATACCATGGTATCCCATGGTTAACCATGGTACAAGTGAAAAAGCAGCCACTAATAACTATAGTAAGTAGTCATTTTTGACTAATTCATTTTTAGAGAGTACATATACAATATACATATTTTTAAATAATAAAGCTTTCTCAACCAAACCCTGTAATGATGTAGATTGTACTTGCTTTTAACCAATTACTAAAGCATAACAAACAATGGCCTATTATTGTTTGTGGTAGTGATGTAAAAAAGTACCTACTCGTTACTTTGTAATGGGTATTTGCCCAATACTCAAAGTACCGATTCCTTGTTGTTGGAAATACTCGTTACTCGTTATAATGCCTAAATTAATTACTATATTGTAGGAGAAATAAAGAAGTTTTGTTTATGTTATGTTCTCTGTTATATTTTTTTAATTTAAAAGTTTAAATTTAAAAATTTAAAATTTTTAATTTAAAAGTAGGTACCAAAAACTATTATCATTACCATTACCTACTAAAAATACCAAATCGCCTATAATTCATAGGCATATGCGAATAAAAAAGAATAAAAAAGTAGAGTAACCATGTACTCAGTATTGTTCTGATACTGAAAACTACAAGTACCGAAAGTAACGAATATAAAGTAACAGGTATTGGTATTAAAAGTAACGAATCGGTACAAGTATTCAAAAGTAACGAAAGTTTACATCACTAGTTTGTGATCTTGTCACCGTCACGTGGCTTTGTATCGTCTTTTTACTTTTTATGTATCATTTGGCCGTCTTTTTCTAAGCACTGCATTTCTCTTAGATGGTAAATCCAGTATTGACGGTATGAATGCATGCCTTTAATTTGTTATGATATGCTTTTTAATGTAACAGGTAATTAATGAGTATAATTTAAATTATTGGAATTAAAATTAGATGGGAAAAAAAATGTTAAAACGTCAGGGTATGCAATGCATTTGTGCTTTCATTGTATGCACGTCACTGATCTTAGGTTTACTATAGTATATGTATTATTGTGTGCCAAAAAAACTCGATATTTTTTTTTCTTGCTCTCCACCCAAAATATCGTAGAATATGTCCGAACAAATATCCTGTTAAAAGCGGAGCTCATAATTTCAATTTTAAGAGGTCCTTCATCGAATCTGAAGTTTTGCCGCTTAAATAGCACAGAAAACTGACTTTTTTACCTTATTTATTCTTGCTACCTAGGAAGAAATTTTTTGTTCATAAAATCCATGACAAAATCTTACAAAGCATTAAATTTGGACGAAAAAATCTTCTATTTTCAATATTTGATTTTTGACAGAGCTTTAAATTTAAAATTTTACGTTTTTTGCCTTTTTCAGCTAAACTATTGAAGTTAGACGAAAAAGTCAAATGGCAATTTTTTAGCTTGTTTGATGGACCACAAAAAATTTTTTGTATCGTCAATATTCTAAAAGTTACAGGCGTATAAAGTCATCATTTTTGTATTATTAACTTTAAATTTAAAGCTCTGTAAAAAATCAAATAATGAAAATAGAAATTCGGCTTAATAAGATTTTTTAGTCCAAATATAATGCTTTGTAAGAATTAGTCATGGATTTTATGAAAAAAAAATTCTTCCTAGGTTGCAGGAATAAATAAGGTAAAAAAGTCAGTTTTCTGTGTTATTTAGGCGGCAAAACTTTAGAATCGATGAAGGAATTGAAATTATGAGCTCCGCTTTTAACATAATATTTGTTCGGACATGTTCCACGATATTTTGCGTGGAGAGCAAGAAAAAAAAATATCGAGTTTTTTTGGCACACCCTAATATGTATACATTTTATTATTTTGTTTAAAACCTTTTTCTTCCTCTTCATGTAGTTTTCTCTGAAAGGTTTAAAAATACAAGATATTAGAAAAATAATCTTGACAAAATGCAATGTTTGTACACCATGGTGTTATTTCTTGATTAAAGTACAATCCGGACCGTGGCAACAACGAACATTATAATCCGCCGGACCAAGATCAAAGCCCGAAATCTATTAAACCCGTTTCCACGCTCCTACAAACTTGAAACGCCGTAATTTTCAGGTTGCACCCGCCCTGAGCCAGGAGGATAACGAAGCGGCAATTCCTCCCGAGGAGGACGAGGGGGGGACGCAGCAGGCGGACTTGACGACGACGTCGACGTCGACCGCGACGACGCCGCCGCGACCTGAGACGACAACAATTATTAATGCTCCAAATAGCATCGAGATACTACAGATCTACGTGCCGGCGGGACAAAGCAATGCGGTCAAATTGATCTGGGGTCACAACACAGACCAGCAGTTTAATTTCACTTACGGCATTCATTACGGAATCGAAGAGGAGGAACTTAGTTGTAAGTTCTACACTGTTTAAAATATATGTGGTGTAAAGACTAATCTTAAAATGGTGTCTAAATCCAACACCAAGTGGTGTTAATATAAACACCATGAATAGGGTGGAGTGAATTTTATTAAATTTATTAATTGATTTTTCCTATATTATTAATTGTTGACTAAAGGCGTAAAATGAATAAATATCGAAAAAATATTCCAATTTTTTAATATCTTGAGGTGGCGCATCAGTCTCGAAGTTTTGAAAATTCTAAAAATGGATCTTTGTAAGCTATAGCTAATATTTATCCCGAAAACCTATTACTAACTATGTTACCTAAAATATATCTATCGATCAGAGAACTAGCATTGCCGAAAATATTAAAGGCGAGAAAAGAATCAAAATGTTCGAGATTACGGGAATTAAAGCTTCCACAACTAAATACTGAAGCATTACATTTTTACGAGTTAATTCACTGGGCGACAGAAAAGGTGACTGAACCACCTATGACTATGAAATACGATGACAGAAATTACCGATATGATTTCTTCGGGTGACCATTTCTTATACTTCCAAAAATTTCAGTGTCACACCCAAGCAGTGGAACGCTGTGTAAAACTGGTTATAACCAGTATACTGAATCTTCAGTCTCGGTTTGTGAATCGGAAGCAAGAAATGGTTTCATCAGAACAAGAATTAAAGTCAGAAAATAATTACCAAATTTTGATACCAAATGTCAGTATTTTCGCGAAAAAGAAGATCTCATTTCTACCAATAAACACTCCTGAAGTTACTTAAAGCATATGATTTACTATTAAATATGTTTACGTTTCACGTTAATTTTACTAAAATAAACTTTTTATTTATAAATATTGCTATTTTTATTACTTTGATTAAAGTAATATTTTTTTAGAATTTTCAAAACTTCGAGACAGATGCGCCACCTCAAGATATTAAAAAATTGGAATATTTTTTCGATATTTATTCATTTTACGCATTCAGTCAACAATTAATAATATAGGAAAAATCAATTAATAAATTTAATAAAATTCACTCCACCCTAACCATGAATTATGGTTGAAAATGTTATATACAGAAAACACCAAAACGGTGTTTATCTAAAAATGTTTGAGAAGTGCACCTACACAGAAAAAAAGGAATAGTTAATTTAACTAAACTGCGCACCACTCAATGTGTCGCGACCAAAAATTTCGTCCTTTTTCAAAACGACATAACTTTATTGTTTCTTGGACGATTTTATTTTGGTCTGTGATGTCTGCTACACCCATCCTCTGGCAATTCATGCTATAGATATGAAGCTCACGGTTCTTTAAGTACATTTTCTACAGGGTGATATGTTAAACAGTGAAAAGTTTCAATAACTTCATCCAAGCCCCGTTTGAAAAAAAATATATTTTTTCTCGTTTTTACTTGAAATAATAAAGTATAAGTATATAGTAACGAAAATATGACTTTTTTTCAAAATAGTAGATTTAAGGCTTTTTGGTAGACAATACACTCAGTCTTTTTAAAAAAGAAGATAAGATGGTGAAAGATTGTTCCTTGAATAATTCTGAACAAGCGACAAAGCAACAAATTTCCATTATTTTCAGAGGGGCCTAAGCAACGACCACTTTTTTAAAATGACATTTTGGTGAAAACTTGCAAAAACTAAACCTGAACCGATATTTACGTTCTTGACATGTTTTCTTTATAATTTTGACCTCCCGATTGTGATTCAGTTGTCAAATTTAAGTTTCTGATAAAACCAAAATCACCAAGAATCAAAATTCGAAAACAATTCCCTGCTGTTAAATGTCTTAATAAAATCAGATTGCTGGCGTGTTTCTTGCATATTTATGATTAAAATGCCATTTGGGGATTTATTTTTTGGGCCAAATTGGTTGGCATAACTTACATTTGCATTGCGCACTAGTGATAACTTATCACTGATAAGTACCTACCTAATTAAATAAAAATATTTTTGTTCATTTTTGAAAATTTTATGCGAAGTTATAATCATAATCAAAACTACAACATTCAACAAAAAAATGTAACAAACGATAAAAACTTTAAATCTTTTGCAAACCGTTGATTTGGAGATGTTAATTTCCGTAGCTGCAGCAAAGTCTCGAATTGGCATTTTAATCATTTAAACTTTAAATGATTAAAATGCAAATGCCAGACTTTGCTGCAGCTATGGGAATTAACATCTTCAAATCAACGAAAATTTTAAAGGAAGAATGGAAGTAACCTGGGTAAGGGGTAAGCATGTAGGTATAACTTAAGCAAAAAACTTCGAAATTTGGAAAACACAAGCAAACTGAAAAAATCAAGAATATCCCTCATAATGCGTTTTTAATGTTTTTCAAGAACTAATTTTCATCATTTGATCCTCGATTTGATCATTTAGCGACATGATAATAACGTACTAAAGATGCAAAACACAGTAAAAACCAGCAATTGTATTTTATTAAAACATTTAACAGCCGGGAATTGTTTTCGAATCTTGATTATTGGTGATTTTGGTTTTATCTGAAACTTAAATTTGACAACTAAATCACAATCAGGAGTTCAAAATTATGAAGAAAACATGCCACGAACGTAAATATCGGTTTAGGTTTAGTTTTCGCAAATTTTTACCAAAATGTCATTTTGAAAAAGTGTTCTTTGCTTAGGCCCTCTGAAAATAATGGAAATTTGTTGCTTGTCGCTTGTTCAGAATTATTTAAGAAACAATCTTTCACCATCTTATCTTCTTGTTCCTAAAAAGTCTGAGTGTATTGCCTACAAAAAAGCCTTAAATCTACTCTTTTGGAAAAACAAATCATATTTTCGTAGGAAATTTATTTGAAGAACCGTAAGCTTCATATCTATAGCATGAATTGCCAGAGAATGAGGCTACCAGACATGACAGACCAAAAAAAAATCGTTTAAAAAACAAAAAAGGTATGTCGTTTTGAAAAAGACGCGACACATTGAGTAATGCGCAGTTTATATTAATTTAGTTGACCAAAAGTATTTATTTAAATCAACTGTGGGAAGGTTAATATAAACAAAGATTAGTTTTACGGTACTAAACCAGATATTTATTTTATTTTTTTTAAATTGCTTAAATTAACCCAGAAAACTTTCGTGAAACCAACCCGCTGTATGGTTCAGTTTACGAAATATGTTGTTTGTAAAATAAGCGTTACTTCAACATAGAGCACTCTGTTAAAACGATTAAAACAATTTGCCGTGCATTCCTGGTTGCATAGTGTGTACCGATCGCGGCAAAGGCGGTGTAGATCACGTGATGTTCTTAAATCTCGCCTCTGTTGACTTACATGAAGAGTATATAAGCTCAGGTAGTCCTTTGCTTTGGTGTGACACTACAAGTTGTTCGATACTAAAGAAACCTTAAATAGGTGGAAACAGCTGTCAATACTTGAAGTATTTTAAGTTGGTGGAACGCACTAAAAACATTATCTCTAGCGAGTTGAAGGTTCAATTTTCTGGAATAATACCACTGGTAATATACTAATAATGCGTCAAGGAAGTTCTTGTTTCCTTTTTTTTCCTTTTTTTCTGTGTAGTATTATCATAAAATTTTGAACAGTGTACTTAAATATTTAGTTTAAGCTATCAAAATTCTCTTTTTTTGTATTTAGATGCAAAAAATACAACGAACGAGCTGAACGCGCTGATAGACAACCTAGAATACTGCACGATGTACCATTTCGCTATTAGCGCTAATAGCGAAAACAAAATTAACCATAACGATATTCGAAGCATAGTAACAGAAATAAACCGTGAGAACCCACCTGTGGATTTTCAAGTTGATTTTCAGCCAGGAGAGCAGCCCTGCTTATTAATAAGATGGTCTTCGTCTTGCGCCAACTATATGGAACCTATCAGTTACAATGTAAGTGAAATAGAAGAGATGAGAATTATCTCATGTACTTAGGATTTCGAATATAAGCTTTTCCTGTATCCCGTCTCTCTGTTTCTTGAAATTTGCAACTTAACTTTTTATTTTACTATATACTCTGATGCCAATTTTTTTTTAAATAAAGGGTTTTTCATTAAGAGTGATAGATTGACGTACGTGTTCTATAAACCTTGTCATTTTATAATGGGGAGATATACAAATGCTCAAGGAATTTAAATTTATTATCAAAATAACCGTCTCCAGTAGCACAAATATTTTGGCCCAATATTCGTAATAATATTGGGCCAATCTTTCGTCAGATTTTTTCTAGAATGGTCCAAAATTGAAACCCAACATTGGCCCGAAGTTGTTTGAGGTTATATAACCGATATTGGACAAACGTTTGTTTTCAGGAAATGTTTATAGTAGGTACTTAAGGGCGTAGAAGCGGGGGGGCGGGTGACAATGCCCACCGAAATGATAAGAGGGAGAGGCGGGTTACTTGATATAAAATGTTCCCTACAATTTCTTTGAAAAAATCTACCAATAAGACAAGTCGTGTACCAACTATGTTATTCTTAATTACGATGAAATGCTAAAATCGTTTGTATCGTGTGCTAAAATGATCAGCTTGAGCTTTATTAACGTAATAACGAATTTTATTGCTAATAAGGCAAGAAATCGCATATTACCCTTGTTATTCTTACGGTAATATGCAAGAATGGTCTTTATTATTTTCACCCATTTGGTGCTAAACAATAAGGATGGTAGTCGGTTGCGCCACCCCCCAACTTAAAACCGTTCCTGCGCCACTAGTATAGACATATCCTGGACTATAGTTAATGATATATTCGGGTAAAATAATATGCCAATTTAGGACCAACCTTGGATAAACTGGGGGTTCGACGAATTATGACAAAATTTAAGGAAGTGTGGAAGGGAATCCTATACTCAATAATAAAACTAATAATAATAATAATCTTTATTTTAGCAAAGGTAAGTAATAATACAAATGTATAAAATTTACATTTAAGAAATATGTGTCCTCATACAGAAAATAAATTTACACAACTAACAAATATTCATTTCAGACTCTAACAAAAAATCAAAATTTTACACTTAAAACTCTTTCAAGACCTTAGGGCCCCTTATAATACTGGGTAAATTATTAAACATATATAAAACACTTTTTTCAGTGGCTGTAAGGCTATGAATAGGATACATATAATCACATGTACGAGTATCACAATATTTTACTTTTTTATATTTTTCGAACAAACTGATGTTCTTTACAAAAAACATTAAACATTGATAATTATAGACGCCACTAATCGTAAGTATTTTCAGTTGTCTAAATTTACCTCTACATGAGGTTCTTGAAGATAAGCCTAGCATTCATCTAACTGTTCTTTTTTGAATGATGAACACATTTTTAACATCACTGCTACTTCCCCAAAAAATTATACCAAAACTCAAAATTGAGTTAAAATTTCCATGGTATAAAATCTTTAGTGTCGAGGTTAACATATTGATATAAAACTCTAAAAGTATATAAGTTAAGTTTATCACAGATCTGTTAAACATGTTTTTGCCAACTTAAATTTTTGTCTTTTTCAAAGGACACAAGTTCATTGTTTATCTCAGATTGCTCAGGTACATTTAGGTAATTATAGTTTGTTCGAAATATAACAAAATTAGACTTGTCTGTATTCAAGATTATTTTTGTTAAACCACTGTACAAGACTGTGCGTTCTTCATCAAACTTTCTGTTATGATATTGCTGTCATTAGCATGGTTTATTAAAACATCTGTATCATTTATCAAGCAGTCTTTTAAATCATTTAAATAAATAATAAATAAGAGAGGTCCAGCATTGCTACCTTGTGGTATACCTGTCTTAAAATATTGGCTTGAAGAAGTATATACTTGTGAATCTTGTTCAACATCAACCGTTTGACATCGTCCCGAGAGGTAGGATAGAAACCACTGCAGTGACTGCAGAGACTTGGGATTACACCCCTATAGGATCCAGTTGACCCAAGAGCTCAATCCAAACGATCATCTTTTTCGTCGACGTTTTGCTAAGCGGTGGATCGCATCGTACCTTGCGAATAGAAAGCAAATAGTGGAAATTACCAAAAATAATTGTAAATATTTATCAAATGCGGTAGACGTAAAAATAGGGATTCCGCAAGGTAGTGTGATTGGTCCGTTATTATTCGTTATTTTTGTTAATGATTTAGCCAAATCAATAAAATGTAATATTGTGAGCTAAGCAGATGACACAAATCTGGTAGTAGCATCAAAAAATGTAAATAGTGTCACATCTAAAAGCAATAGGTTTATCCGACAGGATAGGGATTGGTTCACTAAAAACCGCCTTATTTTAAATGAACAAAAAACAAATTGTATTTTATTTAAAACTAAAATGTTCAGTATTATAACGCCTGTAAATGTCAACTTAAACAACAATGTATTAAATATTTCCGCGAATACCAAATTTCTAGGCTTATATATTGATGAAAACTTAGACTGGTGCAAACATATTCAAGAGCTGAACAAAAAACTTAATAGCGTACACTTAAATCTTGATTTAAATGTAATAAAAACAGTGTATTTTGCCTATTTCCAATCTGTGCTAAGGTTTGGAATAATCTTTTGGGGCCAATGTAAGGATATTCAAGCCATCTTTGTGGCTCAAAAGAATTGTTTAAGAACTATGTTAGGTTTTAAATATGGAGAATCATTAAGAGGGCAGTTTAAGAAACATAAAATACTTACGGTGACAGCGGTGTATGTGTTTAAAATTCTGATGTTTATAGATTTAAGATTGAACTCTGAACGTACTCGAGCTTTAAAATACCCGAGACTACGTTTAACCATTTTTGAAAAAGGGTGTTTCTATGCGTGTATTGTTATGTATAATAAATTGCCTAGTTATATCCAATCGGTGTCCAAACTGCCTGTTTTAAGAGCCTTGCCATGGAATATTTAATTTATATGGAACCCTATACTTTGGCAGATTATCTGCAGTATAATATATAAATTTAATCTGTAACTCTCGACAATATTTCTTCCTAGTTGTTGTACTCTTTATTATACAATTATTTTGGAAATAAATTTTATTATTATTATTATTAATTGGGCTCTGGAGCATTTGGAAGCAGACCCTGAATTCGGCCAGAAAATCATTTTTAGCGATGATGCTCATTTTTGTTTGAACGGCTTCGTTAATAAGTAGAAGAGCGTCAACTGCATTCAGAGAATGTCTTGTGTGGATTTTGGTCTTGCGGTGTCATTGGTCCTTATTTCTTTAACCCGTAACCGGTACGGTACGACTTTCAGGTCGTAAACGGTACTAAGGGGTCTGAGAGACACCTGCCTTTTAAAATTATAATTTATATTTTTATTTATCTGAGGCTTTGGGGATACTAGGAACTATATATAAAGTTAGAATATCACCAAAAATAATACCTAAATAAAAGAAAAATTTAAACAAATAGGATTTAATCAAAACATGTACAAAAAGTGCAGAAGTGCAAACTTTGTGATTAAACTATAAAAAATATTAAACCAAACAAAATAAAACGATCTGTATTTCGAAGAATATACCTTAAAAAATAACATAAACAAAAAAATTCAAATATATCTTTTTTTAACAGCAAAAAGAACTGCTTCAAATTATAGCTGATTTTTACAATTATTTTTTCCATAGTAACTTTTTTGTTTTTTTTTTCAAATTCTTAAAAAAATTCAAATTCTTCACTATCTGACCCTATAAAATTATTTTCTATATACTCTTTACAGACAAGTCCGGAATCGCTGCAGCAGCTATGATTATATTCAACGACATAATCACTATAATATTATAGTGATACCATATGGTTATGTAGTATACTACAGTCATCTATATCACTTATATCGCTTTCGATTTCATAAAACCACTACATTACAGTTTCCTTGAAGCCCTTCTTATCACTTTCGACACTTTTAGAAGGCCCTTGTTGCGAATCCATAACGAATTAATTGTTATTATAAAATAAAATTACGTAAACGGTACACAGTGGTCTACTAGACACCTCAACACTTTGACTTGTAATAATTTGTTCGTTTGACAATCCAACTTGTTCAAAGTCTGAGAGCATATTGATAACTGCTCAACTTAAAAGTATTGGAAGCGACAGATTTTTAAAACAAAAGGTGAGGATGGGACAGGGCTTTGTTCGTTGATGAGTGTCTCCCAGACACCACAGTACCGGTTACGGGTTAAAGATGACTGTCAACGGAGAAAGGTACCGAATGATGAAACGGGATTTCTTTTGGCCTCGATTGGAGGATTGGAGGAAAAATTGAATGTTTATTATATTAGACGTTTGAAAAAAAATTATATATTTTATGCGAAGCAAACTGACGTTTTTGTGGCTCGCCTGTATTGTATGTACTATTGTACTACGTGATTTGATATAAATGAATTATCATTATTTTCCAATACTTAGTTAAAATTTTCCTTTTAACGTAAAAAATCGTAGGCTCATTTAGGAAATTTCTACTCGATCACAAAAATCTCTTTCAAGACAACTTTCCTTATCAAGTGGTCGGACTTGTGTAAATATAGGTCGTCGATGTTGGCTACACTGCATGTATTTGAATTAAACTTTGCGGGAGCGCTGGGTAAGCGTGTTTAATCGAAGACGTAATATAAACAAACTTTGTTCAGTCTGGACGAAGCTATCAATTTCGAATTGGACGAACGATTGCCTTGGGGCTACGCGAGACGTTTATTCAGTTAAATTATCTATCTATCTATATATATACAGGGTGAGTCATTTAACTTGAAATTTTGAAATATCTCAGTATGCATTTTACAAAAAAATGTTTAAAATAAAAATTAAATGATTCGAGGGGGAAAATCAATTTGTACTAAAATTGGTCCTCATACGAGGTGTGTTCAGAAAATAACGGGAATTGTTAAATTTCGGGGGTTCGGAGTGTCCGGTTGTCATAAAATTTTCTTTATTATGTTGGTATGATAAAAACTTTAGCTGTTTTCATTGTTTACTTTGTCTGTGGCAGCCGCTAAGGTTAGACGTGTTTTATGAGCATGAAAATTTGTATCCAATTTTGCTTAAAAAATGAAATAAATTCTGTGAAATGTTAACAAAGGCCTATAATAATAATAATAATAATAATAATAATAATAATAATAATAATAATAATAATAATAATGTATTTATTTGCCCAACAGAAAATCCAATAACAGGACAAAATTAAAATAAAAATTAGTAATAACATTAAATAATCTAAAAATTGTTGCTTTGTATGTAAGTGAAACAAACATGTTGTAAAGCAGATTTTGAACAGGTATAAATATCACATAAATTACAGATTAAATTAAAGTTTTGTGAAATAACATTAATGGGAGAATTTAATGAAACATTAGATTTTGACCTATTATTTAAAAAAGTTATGCGATGGCGTGAGTTTACTCTGGGTATATAAAAGTTAAGCATTGACAAGAGAGTTGGTGAGTCGATTTGATTGTGTAATAATTTATGCAGAAAAACTTGACTATATATAAATCGTCTATCTTTAAGAGAAAGTAAATTAAATTTTTATAGCAAGTGTTCTTGCTCAATACCTCTTTGAGGATATACTCCATCTAATCTATACGACAAATATTTTAGAAAACGTCTCTGTACATTCTCAATTTTATCAATGTATATGTTGTAATAAGGATAAAAAACTAGAGACGCATATTTAAGTCTAGACCTAACGAGTGAACAATATAACATAAGTGTTATAAGTAAAACAATAGTTTACAAGTGGTATAAGAGTTTCCAAGATGGCCGTGAAGACGTTGAAGATGACGAACGCCCCGAACGCACAAGCGCATTAACAACCGATAAAAACATGGAAAAAGTGGAAGAAATGGTATCAGAGAAGTCGCTGATGATGTTGGTATATCGATTGGCTCATCCCATGAAATTTTTTTGAATGTTTTGGATATGAAACGAGTGGCAGCAAAATTTGTTCTAAAATTGTTAAATTTTGAACAATATTTTTGGCCAAAAATAATACTGTAATGATGCCCCAGCCTCTATATTCGCCAGACACAGTGGCGTGCAGGACGGGCCCCGCAGGGCCCGCGGTGCGGGGGGGTCCCCGACCTTAGGGGGGCCCCGTAGAGAACCACATTGGGTAGTATAAGTGACAAAGGGGCCCCAGCTCAAAATTTGCGGGGGGGCCCCCGATCACCTTTGCACGCTACTGGCCAGACATGCCTCTGTCTGACTTTTTCCTATTCACAAAAATAAAGAGAACCTTAAAGGGCCGTCCTTTTGCAAGCATAGATGACATTAAAAGCGCATCGCTGAAAGAACTAAAGGCTATCCCAAAGATCGAGTTTTAGAAGTGTTTCGAGTATTGGAAGAAGAGCTGGCACATGTGCATAATATCCAATGGGGACTATTTTGAAGGCGACAACATTAATGTAGACGAATAAATAAATATTTGTTTCAAAAAACGAAAATTCCCGATATTTTCTGAACACACCTCGTACTCTCCTTATAGGGGGAACAGAGGGTAACTTTAAAATTTTCAACACCCTATTTTTTATTGCAGATTCGGATCATTCGACTAAATATAGGTAGATTTTGACTAAAACATTTTTTCATATTTGTAATAGATGGCGCTGTAATGAAAAAAAATCAATTTTGTTCGATTTTTCTTCTGTATACGATTATGCAATATTTTTTCTATAAAAATATTACTTTTTTTGGTAATAATTATCTTATTAAATTAAATGTGATTTTTTTCAGTACCCACGATTTTTTAACTAATATTTAAGTTTTCTTTGGTTTAAGTTTTATACATTATTTAATTCGGTGATAATTATCAATTGCGCAACATGGTCACTTTTTACCTGCCAGCATTAAATCCTTTAATTTAAAGGATTATTGAACCATTTTTAACAAAAATACCCATTTAAGGTAAAAAAACATTATTTTGTCAATTAAGTAATTTAATCCTAATTTAGGTATAAAAAATGGTATTTAGTTATAAATAATAATTATTATTGAGGTATAAAGAAACTATTTATAGTTTAGCATTATTTAATAAATTTATTTCGAAGAATAATTTGCAAACAAAAAGACCTCCTTTCGTTAAGCAGGTATTCATAATGGATTTTTGAACAGTGGAAGAAAAAAATAGAAATGATTTTGATTTATGGAAAAGCAGCCAGGAATCTTGACGATGATGTTAATATCTACGCTCAGCGTTTTCCGGATAAAATTCGATTACTTACTTCATTTCACCGTACAGTCAAGCAGTTTACTACAAACGGGAGTGTTCAACCGAAAAAAGGCCAAGCAACAGTCACAGGAAATTAATGTATTAGCAGCAACGGCCGCTAATCCTTAAGCAAGCACACCAGAATCTAGAGATTTGAGAATATCCCAGAGCAGTGTTAACAGAATATTAAATATAAATAAATAAATAAATAAAAGTATTTTATTCAAAAATTATTGGAGAATCGTATAAGAAGAAAAATCGAACAAAATTTTTCATTACAGCGCCATTACAAATATGAAAAAATGTTTTAAACAAAATCTACCTATTTTTAGTCGAATGATCCGAATCTGCAATAAAAAATAGGGTGTTCCATTGGAAATTTTAAAGTTAACCCTGTAAGGATGAGAGTATGGGGAATAATTTTCGTACTAATTTTTTCCTCCCTCGAATTATTTAATTTTTATTTTAAACTTTTTTCGTAAAATGTCTATTAACTGAGGCAGTGGCGTATTTAGGATTTAGCTCCGGGGGGGGGGGTCCAAAAAAACTAACTAAATATGTATACAAAAAACTAACTAAATATGTATACATATTTAGTTAGTTTTTTTGGACCCCCCCCCCGGAGCTAAATCCTAAATACTATACTATGCTATGCTTTAATAACTAAAAAATCAAAAATTAGGAACTCTTCTGATCCCATAA